AGGAGTGCAAGACAATGTAAAGATTTTTTCACAAAGGGATAAATTTTTTACCTCCTACATGTTAGAGAAAGTTATGGGTTAGAATGTAAAAGGGACCTATTGGATCTAGTTTAAAATATACATGTTACTATTATTGATATTCTTTATGCTTTGGGGGATGTTTTAATGTTTTATTTATTAGAGAAAGTTATGAGTCAAAATGTAAATTAGATTTAATTGTTTAAGCTTAAAACATATGGGTTATTATTACTAGCACTCTTAATGCTTTTGCTGTGTAAGACTGATGAAATTTTTTTTATGATTTGGTTATTTAGTGATGAGAATTAGGAAGAAGAGCTTCTTTTTCTGTAATATCAAAGAAGGTGTTAAATTACTGTAAATGCTTATACTTGTCTGGAGGGAGGGGGAAGTCATTTTTTATATATCTTTCTTTTTCTTTTTCCTTTTTCTAATTATGTATTGCCTTTTAATTATATAAAACTCTAATAAAATATTATGAAAAAAATGAGTTTCATGACTTACCTGTTCCTTATATGTTTATTTGACTTTTATATAAAGGGCATCATCTAAACATGCATTCTCATACTTGGGAATTATAAATAATAGTACATTCAACTACATTTTAATTTACTTTTGTAAATTAATGCATGTGTCAACAAAGCTAGGTATAAATAAAGGTAAGGGAAATTAAAAACCACATAATAAGGCAGTCTTTGTATAAAGTGAAAGTGGACAGACCTTGACCTGTTTGCCTTGATCCAATTAAATTATGATCCTGTAAAGGTTTAGTGTAAAATGTGGAGTCCCTGGAGGATTCCCACAGACATTCTCAGAAATTAATAATGGTTGACTATCCAATTGTCTATGTAATACATAGTTTCTGATAAAGTGTAGATTCAGGGTTAATGCACAGATTAATGTAACAATGTAGCAATTAATGTAAAAATTTACTAAGGATGTGTTACATGACTCTATTGGAAAAAATTGAATGATATTGGGTGATATCAAAGGTTGTATCTAGGATACCTGTTTTATACTAGAACTAAAGCTGGATTCCCAGTCAAAATCTTCCATAATTTTGCTTATATTAATCAGTTTGAATTGCTGTCCCAGATTTTCATTCAGCACAACCAAATTCAGAATTACATGCAAAAACTTCATGTTCCACTGAGTTGTGTATGGACTGCTTGCAATTTTAAATGTTCAAATCCCTTTTTTATGCCTATTAACAACCAAGTTCAAGCAGTATTTTAGAGCCACTGGTTCAGTTAATTCTTTGTTGCAGAGTCTCATTTGTATTTTTTTAATCTTTGAAGTGCCAGATAAATCTTTGATGTATTCAGTGAGTCTGTTATCCAGACATATATGGAATTCAGGGTGGTAAATTATATGTTTCTGCTGTGTTTGGATGAACTTTACTTATGTGATTTATTTTTTGGCTTAATGTGGGAAGTAATCAATGTACTCTATGTATTGTCGAAGGCTTTCACGGCCGGCATACAATGGCTGGTGTGGGTCTTCCAGGCTGTGGGGCCGGGGTCTTGAAGGTTTGTTTCCTAACGTTTCGCCAGCACCTGTGACCGGCATCTTCAGAGTGCAGGAGCACAGACAGGAGCAGTTCTTCCTTTGAAAGAAAAAAAAATTGTGTGGTGAAGTCTTAATTTGTCAGATTAAAATGGTGTTTTTATATTGTGTACAGGAAAGATATACTGTATGTTGTAAAGTAGTAATATCATTATTGTAAAATTTTTAAATAAGGTACTTTTTTGATGCCAAAGGCTAAATGATTCAGCTTTCCCAGAGTGTAATTTGCGGCTCACTTAGCAGCTTTTCATGCTTTGAGATTAAATGAGCTGCTTCTGAAGAGAATGCATGACAAGATAGCAATGACAGTTAAAATTAGGGCTTTTTCCTGACACATCTCATTGAAACCACACATTTCGGTATTGCTTCTGAAACACAGGAATCGATGAAGGCATGCTACATAAATAGTCTGCTGTGTGTCAACAGTCTACAAATCATGTTACAACATTTAAAGTTTAAAATAGCAGAGAATATTCTGATCTGACATTTACCATCTGTCCATTTTATAATATATCGTTTTGTCTTTTCAGGTTTTATTTGTTTGCTTCCATTTTTTGGCTTTGTATTGGATTTCTGCTTGCAACAAATTAACTGCATGGGGAAGGTTGTCATATTATTATAGGGCAAATTAAATGTCTTGCCAAAAAAATATCTCTTTAAAGGATGTAAGGGGACCAATCAATCTTGTCTTCAGAATCAGGGTGCTGCCTCGTGTTTCCACAAAGAATTGGGCTTTAGTTGTTGTGAATACAGTGCTTGGGCTGCAGATTCTTATGGGATCTTATGTATTTATATCCTGCTTTTTCTCTGGGAACTCAAGCAGCTTACATAAAGTTCTCCCCTAATTTTAATCCCTAGCAACAAACCTATAAGGTAAGGTCCGCTGAGATGTGATGTATGCTCCAGTGAGGTCTGTAGTCAAGAAGTGACTTGAACCTAGGTTTCCCTGATGTAAATCCAATACTTTCATCACTGCAATGAACCTCCTCTGCATATTGAATTGTGTATGGTAATATGATATGGTAATATGGTAATGAGCCATACTTTCATTAATTTTTGTTTCTGAATGTCTTTCAAAGGCAAACCTACATAGCATGTACTGTGGAGTCCTTGGGCTTCTCTGAGCTTGGTTCTTTTCTTGCAAACGTTTCATTACCCGGCTAGGTAATGAACATCTTCAGTGCTAGAATGGAATGGGGTTTGCTCTCTATATGCTGTGGCCTCCCTAATGAGCCATACTTTCATTAATTTTTGTTTCTGAATGTCTTTCAAAGGCAAACCTACATAGCATGTACTGTGGAGTCCTTGGGCTTCTCTGAGCTTGGTTCTTTTCTTGCAAACGTTTCATTACCCGGCTAGGTAATGAACATCTTCAGTGCTAGAATGGAATGGGGTTTGCTCTCTATATGCTGTGGCCTCCCTTGCCAGTGCTGGTGGGAGTGGGAGTTTTGTTTTGCTCCTCTGGTAGTTCCTTGATTAGCCTATGTTTACTGCTTGGTTGTGTGCCTGGTGGTTGTGTACCTTTGCTTATCTGGGTGATGATTGCTGGTGATTGATTGCTGGTGAGGGCACACAATCAAGCAGTAAACATAGGCTAATCAAGGAACTACCAGAGGAGCCAAACAAAACCCCCAACCCCACCAGTACTGGCAAGGCCACATATAAATAGAGAGCAAACCCCATCCCATTTTAGCACTGAAGATGTTACCCAGCCAGGTAA